AGCCTTCCTTCCCCCTTTGGGTGGGGCAAGAAATGAAGGAAGCCCTGGGTGGGTGCACCTCCTGGCTCCTGTGGCTCCTCCAGAGACCCTTTTTGGGTAGCCTCAAGGGGCAGCTGTCCTCCCCCCCCCCGGTCTTCTCCCCCGCCACCTCTTGCCCAGCAGCCCCTGGCGGCTCCCTCTTGCACAGGTCTACAGCCCCCAGATCCGGGCTGCGTCACAGGAGTTGCGCCCCATCAGCCAGAGGCAGGCAGAGGCTCGACGGCTCAGGGCCGCTGGCTCTCCTCCAGGTGAGTGGCTGGGCCTGGGTGGGGGCTCCTCGGGCAGAGGCCTGAGGGGGCTTCCCAGGTTCCCTCCAGTGACCGCCCTGCCCCACAGGGACCTGCTTGCGCCTCTATTCAGAGGCCTGCTATGAGCAGAGGCTGCCGGCTGTCTCCCACACCCACCTCATGGAGGCTGACCTCCGCCGCCCCATCCTGCTGCTCAAGAGGCTGGACATTGCAGACGTGGGCCAGTGCGACTTTCTCGACAGGCCAGGTGCGGAGACGGCTGGGCAGGGAGGGGGCCGGGCCTGCCGGGCCAGCAGCAGCCATTTGTTGGACAGGAGGGGAATCGAGGTGTTCCAGGGTCCAATCTCGGTCGGTCACCGAGTCCAGAAGTTTCGCCTCCTGAGCTTTTGGGGTCCTTCTCTCTCTGGCCGCGCGTGGGCTTCGGGCTGTTCTGTGTGTGCTGCTTATGTGGTGCCCGTTGTGTGTGGCTTTGCAGCTGTTGATTGGGAGGGGTGTTGATGGCATCTCTCCCTGCCCCCACAGCCCCCGAGTCTCTGATGCAGGCCCTGGAGGACCTGGACTACTTGGCTGCCCTGGACGATGACGGGAACCTCTCTGAGGTGGGCATCATTATGTCGGAGTTCCCTTTGGATCCCCAGCTGGCCAAGGCCCTCCTGGCCTCCTGTGAGTTTGACTGCGTGGAGGAGATGCTGACTCTGGCCGCCATGCTGACCGGTACGGGCCTGGCCTGGGTGCCTCTGAGGCCTCCGCCATCCAGTCTCTCTCCCTGGCTCTCCTGAGCTCTGCCGCTCTCCCTCCCTGCAGCCTGGCCTTGTTTCCAGACCCCGGCCGCACGCTGGGAGGACGCGGTGGTGGCGCGGCAGCAGGCTCTGCTCCATCCAGCCGGGGACCACTTCACGCTCATCAACGTCTTCAACGCCTTCCACCAGCGTGAGTGCCAGGCAGGGGCTCCGGGCAGGCAGAGGGCCAGCGGGAAGCACTCCCCACACCCCTCCCTCCCTTTCCTTTAGAGAGCGACCCGGAAAGCTGGTGCCGGAAACATGCGGTCAGCGAGGCAGCCCTGCAGCTGGCCGGAGCAGTGCGGACGGAGCTCTTGGATGTGATGCAGCGGATTGAGCTGCCAGTCTCCCCCCCGGCCTTTGGCAGCGACAGCAACATCCTGCAGCTGAAGCGAGCCCTCCTCACGGGCTTCTTCCTCAAGGTAGGGGCCCCCCCCTGCTGGTGGCCGAGTCAGACGGCGGTGCCCGGGGGTCGCCTCTCGGGCATGTGGCCGGCAGGTGCATGCAGTACCCTGAAGCAGGAGCTGGTCCCTGCAGAGGGAGGGTCAGGCGCGGGGATTTACAGGGCTTAGCCAGGACTGTGCTCCAAGAGAGGAGAGCCAGCCGCTGGGCAGCCCGATGGAGACCCCGTGCCATGCCCTCTCGAGTGGGGGCAAGTGAGAGAGCTGCCCTTCTTCCCTTTGTGCAGGTCGCCCGAGACATTGACGGCTCAGGCAACTACCTGCTGCTGACCCACAAGCACTTGGCCCAGCTGCCCCCCAGCTGTTGCTACCGACTGCGCCGCCCATCTCCACGGCCTCCCTCCTGGGTGCTCTACCACGAATTCACCGTCTCCCAAGACAACTGCCTGAGGATCGTCTCGGAGATCCCGCCAGAATTGTAAGCGTCCCCTGGGGGCCGGGGTGTGTGTGTGTGTGTGCGTGCGCGCGTTCCCTGTTCTCTCCCCCTCCCAAAGGGGTGGAGCCTGACCGGTCTTTGGGGAGTCTGTGCCATGCACCAATCCTGAGCCAGCTGCACCTTTTCCTTCCCTCTAGCGTGGCTGAACTGGCTCCCCAATACTTCCTGAGCAATTTGCCACCCAGCGAAAGCCGGGACTTGCTGATGGAGCTGCGGGGGAAGCTGGCGGAGGACACCCCCCTCCAGGGTCAAGGGGAGGACCCCCAGGCCCCCAAAGCGGCTGAGGATGCAGCAGATGCCTGTGTGCTGCAATGACCCTGGCGGCAGGAGGGAAGATGGCCGAGTTTGTGGAGGCTTTGGAACTGCCAGGGGCTGCCCGGGTCTCCCCCAGGGCACGACTGAGGCCATCTGAGTGCCTGCCAGGCTCCTGGGCAGAAGAGAGGGCAGGGGAGCCCCAAACAGGCTGCTTTCCGGACCGGATCTTAGCTGGGGAGGGAAGGGGGAGGGTGGGCCTGCTTCCACCTGGGCGGAGACAGTCGACTGTGGATCTGCTGCCTGGCCACGCGAGCTGTTCTGGGCTCTGGTGACCTTTGGGGGCGGGGACTCCTCAGAGGCATCAAGCAGGTGGACGGCCTTTCTTCACCTTGGCATCTGCTCTTCAGTTGGGTGTCTTGGCAAGCAGCGGGGCACCCCACAAGTTGCCTGCTTGTGGGAGGTTGTGGTAGGGCCTGGAGACCCTAGACGTCTATGTCTGCTTAGTAGGAGAAGAAACTGCTAGCTCCCCCCCCCCCAAATTCTCCAAAGGGATCCTTTCCCTTTTTCCCAGCAGCAGTTTGTGGATGGGGGGGGTTATACTCCCCCCTTCCTTTGTTTCAGCTTCAGCGGGGATCCCTGCTGAGTATCCGGAGTGCTTTGTGACTGGTGGGAGGGGCGGGGGTCCTGGGGCTTTTCTGTGTGTGCCTCAAAAGCGTTCGTGTGCCCTCCCCCACTCGGGGAGAGCGGGTATGTGGGGACGGTAGGGCGAAGGCCAGCAGGCTCTGTGGGGCCTGGCCTCCACTCCCCTGGTGCTCCGGACAATCCTCCTTGTAGGAATTAAATTCTTTTACACATCCAACGGGCGTCTGGTGTGGATTTGGGACGAGGGGGGCTGGGGGCCATCGAAGTGCCAGCTGGAAAGACAAAATCTGGGTGGGAAGTAGGAAAGGGGCTGGGAATAGGGCTGTAGGCCGGGGTCTGCCTGGCGGCCTGAGTGGAATAACATCCATGGATCCACTTGAGGGCCTGGAGAGTTTCCTGCATGGGTGGCTGAGGTTGGAGAAGGCTCTGGGTGTGAATCGAATGCCCAAGGCCTGTAACGACTCCATTCTGCCACACGGCCTGTCGGGGGCCCCCTTGCCCTTGGCCTTTCCCCTGCTGGATCAGGGGAAGGGGACTCGGCCCCTCTCCCGGGGGGTCTTGGGTGGGTAGGCCTGGGGCAGACAGCGCTGGTGACGGAGGCAGCCTGCTGGGAGGCCATATCAGAGCTCGCTGGGGTCTGGGCCCTGTGAGGCAAGGACCCCCAGAAGCCGCGCCCTGGCCACTCACCTTCGCTCCTGGGGCAGCGCAAGCGAATGGGGCCGCCTGGCCGGTGGAGGCTGCCCTGTCCTGGCCCAGCCCTTGGGTGCACCGAGGCTGTCAAGGCGAATGGGAAGCCCCAGGTGGTGCCAAGGGAAAGAGAGGACCTCGGGCACGGGAGGGGGGCAGGGTCTCGGCCTTCCTTCAGTGGGGGTGCCTGGTACTGCTGGGCTCAGCGCTTCCTCGGCCTTTGTGGGACCCTGGAGGAGCTCCTGGCTGAGGAAACCCCAAGGCAGCCCCACGGAGGAGCCCTTATCTCCTCCGGAGCTCTTATCTCCAGGCCTGCTTTCCATGAGGGGGCCGGACTTCCTTGAGGGGGTGGGCAAGAAACCACCACAGATAGGAGTCAATCTTCGTAAGCATTTCGAGGAAGGCGGGGGGGGTTGTCAGAAAAAAAAGAGATCCCGTAAAAGGTCATATGGGAAACCCCTTGTTCTCCACCAAAGCCCTCGTTCAGCCGAGGAGACGCCCCCACCCACGGCCATCGTCCAGAGGTCCCCCTCCCTTGTCCCCCCTTGGCACCCAGAGTGGGGCATAGAAAGGGTAAGACTGTGAGCTCCCCCTTTTCAGTTAGGGGTCTGGTTGCAGAGGGTCAGGTGAATGCAATCCCCCCCCCCCGGCAGAAGGAACACATTTCCTCCATGGTGGCTCTTCTGGGACAGCCCTCAGTCCTGTCTGCCCGATGACTGACACAGACCGGCCTCCCTTGGGTGCCCACATCCTGGGCCCTGCAAGCAGCTGCCTCTCTGCTGGGCCAGCTGGACACGTAGACCCTTCCCACGCTCTCGGCCTTCCGAAAAGCCACTAAAACCGGGCTATTCCGGCAGGCCTGGGGCTCTTGACCTCACAAATGAGGTCCAGCCCCACCTAGACGGAATGTATGGTGTGTTGTTTTTAAATTTGTTTCTCTTTTTCCATTTTTAACTCTTATCTTGTTTCTGTAAGCTGCCCGGAGTCCTACGGGATTGGACGGCATATAAATTTATTAAATTACTAATTACCCAGAAAGGTCGCGTGGAAGCTCCAGGGTTTCCCCTTCCCTAGCTTTGCTCCTGGGGGAGGCTTTGCGGTTCTCCTTTCCGTGGCTCCCAAAGCCTTTGAGTGGAGCCTCGGGGGGCCTNGGACACAGTGGCTCGGGGGCTAAGATGCCGAGCTCGTCGATCAGAAAGGTCGGCAGTTCGGTGGTTTGAATCCCTAGCGATGCGTAACGGAGGGAGCTCCCGTGACTTGTCCCAGCTTCTGCCAACCGAGCGGTTCGAAAGCAGGTAAAAAAATGCAAGTAGAAAAATAGGAACCACCTTTGGTGGGAAGGGAACAGCGTTATGGGCCCTTTCAGCATTGAGTCATGCCGGCCACATGGCCACGGAGACGTCTTCGGACAGCGCTGGCTCTTCGGCTTTGAAACGGAGATGAGCAGTGCCCCCTAGAGTCAGGAACGACTAGCACATAAAGGGGAACCTTTACCTTTAACTAAGCTAGGATGCAAAATGGTTTTCCTGAACCAAGATCTTCCCTTGTAGAAGATGACGGTTTTGCAGAGCTAAGATTTAGGCTTAAACTTTGATTCGATGTCCCTTGGAATGAAAACGATATCGAGGGAATGACAATTCTCCCCCAAATAATTACTTACTCGCTGTGATCCATTCGACGGAACATCGACAGGGCTAGAGTTAAATCTTGGCTGTTTTCTTGCGGCCTTGTGGGTTGTGTGAATCCCGCTGGCTGGTTTAGAATAGAACAGAGCTGGAAGAGACCTTGGAGGTCTTCTAGTCCAGCCCCCTGCTCAAGCAGGAGAACCATTGCAGATATGTGGCTGTCTAGTCCCTTCTTAAAAACCTCCAGGGGTGGAGCGCCCAATGATTTCTGAAGGTTCCGTTCCTGTTGGCACCAGTCCAGACACCGGATTTACACACAATTTGTGTTGTGTGACTGTGACTCTCCTGGTGGCCTTAACCAGGAGCTGTAGAAGTTATTTCTGTGAGACATTGGAAGGACTTCTCAGTTGAGGATCTCCAATGACTTCCGATAGCTCAGCTTTCTCATTGCCAAGAGAATCAACCGCAGGCTCAGTCATCCAGGCCATAGCTGTTCCCAAGAACCAGAGGAAGCTTCTTGGATGAGAAGCAAAACCTCTTCAAAGAAAAAAAATAACCAGAAAGTCCAGTTGCCTTTTGAAAAAACACCTTGGAGAGAACCCCAGGCATACTAAAATTTAGACGGGGAAGTTCCTGGACCTTGCTTGAATGTTAGCATCTTGTGCCAACCCACTCTTCAGTTGATGCCTCAAACCAAGGTTTAACAAACCGCAGTTTAGCGCAGCACATCAACCCATCCTGTGTGAGCAAAGGCACGATTTAATTTGCTCCCTTCCCATGTTTCTAGAACCGATTCCCTCCCAGCTCAAAGAACCCGAGACTCCTCAGCACGCTAGTTTCAAGGCACCGGTTACGAATCTTGCCCTGGGGCTCTCCTTTCGCCCAAATTAACCAAATTAACTGCACTTGTTCATTAACGAAGCTGCATCACTTCTGCTCTCTTTCGCAATCAACTCTGGCATTTTTGATGATTAAAAGTCACAAAAAAAAAACTTGTTTAGTCCTGGAGATATAATCTCCGCGCTGGGCTAAACGCATAATGAAGCTAAGTAGATGAGTATAATTTCTATGTCAGGATGCATAATGAAATAATTATGGTCTGGCTTCCTTAGAGGAGAAGTAGCATATTTTTCTTTTGTTGTTGTGTTCAACTGGAGGCAGTTTCATACTTCTCGAAAACAGCCCGGTAGATAATTGTGCATTTTAATATGTCTAAAGATCAACTCAGCCTTCTCCACCACAGCTTCAGTTTTTTATCCAGTAGTTGAACTCAAAACATTTTGAGATGGGACCAAGTTAGAAGTTCTCCCCAAGGACTCATCCAAAGAGCTTCCCCTACAGCTCCCAGTTAAAGCCACCTCCAGTTCACACCACACAGGGGAACTGGTTCCTGTGTGGAACCAGTCCCTGGACTGGTGATGGATTGCCATCACCAGAGCTGGGAATGAAAGAAGCCATCTAGATTCACACAACATGCAAAGATGCTCCAGGAAACGGCGGAGGTTCAAACCTTTAAACCTGGTTACTACCGCAGTCTTGGTAGGTTAGACGTTGACGCCCTAATTCGACTCATTCAGAGTTCTGGGTCGAACTCCCAGAGTTCTGTTAACCCTTTTCGGTGGTATTTGATGGTCTCCATTTGCTTCCCAAGCATCATCAGGCATTTAACAACCCCCATAATCTGGGTGGGGCCTGGCCAACTGAATGGAGATAGCAGAGTGATTTACTGGCCGGATGCTATTCCTGTCCCCAATGAGGAGTTTTGTTCAGCAGATATATTCCCACAATGGAGAGAGAGAGAGAGAGAGAGAGAGAGAGAGAGAGAGAGAGAGAGAAGAGAGAGAGGGAGGGAGGGAGGGAGGGAGGGAGAAAGAAATGTCTGCCTCTACCTAGCATCAAACCCACATCCTCTAGAGAGCGCCACCTCTAGGCCACCACATACCCATTCTTCTTCTTCTTATTTTTTTTTTTAAAAATAATGCAATATTTTCTCTTTCTGCCTTCCAGCCTCATCACCCAGCCATGCAGTCTCACTGTGCTCCCTCCTGTGTCATCCCAAGCTGCAGGCCCACCCATGCCATCGGCTCCTGCGGTATCGGCGGTGGCTATGGCTTCGGCAGTGGCGGTTTCGGTATGGGTGGCGGATACGGCATGTCGGGCTACGGTGGCGGCTCCGGGCTTGCCACATCAGCCAGCAGCCTCGGTGTGGTCCCCGGAATCCCCGTTTCTTGCATCAGCCAGATCCCCTCCTCCGAAGTGGTCATCCAGCCCCCTCCGTTCTCCCTAACCATCCCAGGTCCCATTTTGGCCTCCAGTTGTGAGCCGTTGGCTGTAGGGGGTTATTCCCCATGCGCCTCCGGAGGCTACGGTATGTCTGGAGGTTACGGCTCCTCCCGTTATGGGGGGGGAGGCTCCGGTGGATACCAGGGAGGTTCCTGTGGGTACCTGGGGGGCGGCCGAAGCTACGGGTCAAAGCGTAGGCAAAGCACCTGCGGATACCCCTGCTGAACGTCAAACCGAGTGTACACGGAATGTTCCGACGACAGGAAATTGGATCCAACCTTCCCTCGAGGCTCTTCTCCTGAAAAACACAGCACCTGTGCTTCAAGCCCACGCTACTACGAACTGCTTATCGTTCCTAAATCTCCTGCTTTGAACCTAGATTCTTTTCTGATGTTTCTACGGCTTTAATGCGACTCTCTCTACCTCAGTTGTGTAATAATATGTAAGCTGGGTATTTCGGTCCATGGAGACCCCCAAACCAGCCCATCTTCTTCTGTTATCATCCCGCCACCATCTTGCATTAAAAACTTCCGTTGCATCACACACGTTGCCTGTTGTTGTCTTGGGGGGTCGGGCGAGTGGGGTGTCATCCTTTTTTGGGGGGCGGGAGAGAAGATGACTCCACAGCACCTCCTAGAGAGCCTTCAAAGGTGGCCTTTGGTAGTCAAGGCGTTGGAGGAATGCTTGCTGTGGGCCTGAAAACATCTGGGTGGAAGGCTGTAGAAACATCTCAACAAGTGTCGTCCTTTTGGGTGGGGGAGAAGATGACTCCACAGCACCTCCTAGAGAGCCTTCAAGGGTGGCCTTTGGTAGTCAAGGCGTTGGAGGAATGCTTGCTGTGGGCCTGAAAACATCTGGGTGGAAGGCTGTAGAAACATCTCAACAAGGGTAACTATTAATCGGTTCCTGTGGTCAAGGAGCATCTGGTTCTAAGTTGTGGAGTAGAGTTACTCCTAGTGAGAGGTTCTTGCATAATTTAGGGCTGGGGAGAAGTTCTGTGTGGGCCCAAGCAAGACCAGAGGAACCTCCTCCTGCCTCGCCAACTTCAAAAGCCAAACGGCTGATGTTCCTTATGTTGGTTCCACCAGAACTTAAAGAAGGCTGTAGATGCTATCGCTTCCCTTCACATCCTGAGTCACTTAATCCTCTTATCTTGAGGGATCCCTTGTTTCCCTCCCCCAGAAAACATGCCTCGCCCTTCAGTTACCATTCAAGAAAATGCAGTCCTTCACTGGCTTACATGCTACAGCCCACAGACCTCCGGCCTACACAATGCTAAGCCTTACCATTGATGAACTACACCGTAGGAAAGAGACTGGTTGTAACAACTAGTCAAAGGACAATTCTAGATTTGGAAGAAGTTCTCAGTTTGGGAAAATGAAGAAGGGGGAAATTGGAATGTCCCACAAACACCAATTTCGCCCAGTCCTAAACAGATCCTTGTCTTACAATAAGCTAACTCTTTTCCAAGTCCTACCATGTTCTTCGATTGAGGCTTGCCCCCCCCCCTCTCTCTCCATAGAGGCAACTTCTAGAGAGGACCTCTGAAAATGGAGTCACTCTAGACATTCCCCTCTTTGTGGTAGTTCAGTCAACGGAATGGGTGACGGGATTCCAAAGATGGAAGGATCTCCTGTGATCCTCCCCACCCATGGCCAGAGAGGAGGAGACCCCCCCTTCAACCCTCTGAGAGAGATGGTTGGCCTCCACAAAGACAAGGAGAAGGGATGGTCATTTTGGTCCCATGCTTCTTTCAGCAGGGGACGAAGAGATGTTTACCCTCAGTGGTCATTCATGGATCCTCCTCATCTCTTTGAAGGAGACCGTAGCCCCAAATTGATGCGGGAGGATTGCAAGACAGGGGGGGTCTCCAACCTTGGCAACTTGAAGCCTGGAGGACTTCAACTCGTAGAATTCCCCAGCCAGCAAAGCTGGGAGTTGAAGTTGCCTTCAAGTTGCCAAGGTTGGAGACTCCTGTTCCAAGGAACGGATTGGACATCCAATGTAACAATCCTAGCACACTGCCCATACGGAAGCTTTTGACCATGAATAACAAAGTCCACTGAACTTTCCCCCCTCATTCTTCATGCCACAGACACTTCTGGGTCTCTCAAAAGGAAGTTTCCCCAAACTCTTTCTAAACAGGGCTGCTGAAATAAGGAAAATATCGTATTTTCACCCATATAACTCGCCCACGCGGGTTTTCCGGATCGTGTAAAATGTTTCCCGTATACCCCGCCCACGCATATAACCCGCCCACGCATATAACCCG